GAGCATTAACATGGGTCATGGTACCACGGTGCCATCTTGAGGTGACTCCCACTGGGTCCCTCAGAATCCATCTGACCTCCCAATGGATGAGTACTACGGGCACCTCCTGAGGCCTGGCCACCACCCTCTACTACACCCTGGACCTTTTGAAAAAAAAGAAAAAGATAAAAAGACAGAGATAAACTCCGATTTACAAGTATCGAACTGAGGTTAGAAATCAAAGTTAGCTTCTGAATCTACAGTATCTCAGTTTCACAAAATGCAAGATGAGAACTTCAATTCTGGTAAACCATGGGCCAACAACCAAAACCCACAGCAAAAACCAGCTAGTGAGCTTCAGTTCTGGTTTCGACCTATCTAGTAGGGATACGGACATCAAATCTGAGGATGACCTCCAACGATTCAGAAACAGATAGACTGATTGGTTTAGCGGTATGGGTCCCCCCTTCTTCTGGATTCTCAATCCCCAATCTGTTGCAATAGCCTGCGTGATGTTGTACTTGACTTCTGCCCGGACCATCGGAGGCGTGAGATGCTCACCCCTTCTTACTACCAAATTTCTCAAAGACCATATCATGAACATAATTCCTCCACTTAACCTTTTTTCTGCGTAAAGAGTTCTGCGGGCAGCCGTCCCCAGCTGGATAACATCATCGGTTCAACAGGGATTGGCATAGATTAACTGAGAAGATTAGCATGGGCCCTGTCGAAGGATAACAAAAGCACATTGAGAAAGCGTACAAATTTTATTAAAAAACTGAAAAGAAAAAACTTCAGAAAACTTGAAAAAAGTGAAGATTTTGAGAATTTAAGATTTTGGGGCATGGTTTCAGCGGCATGCATTGCCTTAGCCTCCGGCTCTCTGGTGCCCTTGTTGATGTGTGTGGGACACTGGGCCTGGTTCGCTGCAGGTGTAGCTCCCCACCAATTCCGGACCAAAAAAAAAGAAAGTCTTGCTTTTGGGTTATATTTGCGGGTGCACGGGCCGCTGACACCCACCCAGAAAGCTGTCCGGCCACCCGGTCAGATCCATAATTGTGGCCATTCAGTAGTTGGGTATATGTGTAATTTGGCCGGTCCACCTCTGTTCCAAATCTGCACGTAACTTGCCCGGGTATGCCCATAAGTTGAGCATTTCGGTAGTTGGGTACAACTGCAATTTAGTGGTACCGACCTTGGCCCACCTCCGTCCCGGCCACGGATATGATGTCCACAGGCAGGGTTGTCAGAATGCCTACGACCAACGCCTACCGTAGGCCGTCGGCTCGCCTACCAGTGGGGCCGACCCATATGCGGACTGGTCGGCAGTCTGTGGAGGGGCATCCACTGTCTTTTTTTCAAATCTGAGTTCAGGGCTGTACTGCGCTTGCTGAGTACAGCCCAAATCCGCTAGAAAACTTTTGGGAATGGGGGGGGAAGGTACGGGGGGCTATGGGGGATGTATAGGG